ACATATGGAACGCAGTTAAAACTTGTCTTATATACCTCGAGGGCCCTTGCCACTGGTTTTGTAGCAGTCCCTCCAAGATAGTGATGACGCATGCGTAGATTTCTGTCGCCAAGATGACGAGAAAGGTATGAAACAGGAATCAAACCTTCAGAGGCCAAAAAAAGACAACTGATATAAATATCCATCCATTTAACATGTTTTATTTAGAGTATTGATAATTTCTCTCTTGGAACATCGCACACGAGTACATTCCCAGAATCAATCTAGAGACAATTTAACAACATTATGCTGTCTGCACATATTCTTTTTTTTTTTTTTACTATGAAAAGTATCATGTAGATTTGTTACACAAGCAGAAATCAACCCCATAATGATAATAAATGTATCTCTTTATCGACAACTTATCATACCGTCTCTTTTACACTGGTCTAGGTAAGTTGTTTTTCCTGTGGGGTCTATTGGTTTTTCTATTTCTGTAAATGAGATAAAAAATATTATTCATTCTTCGCTTTCCTCTGTGCTCTTTGAGAATTTTTGTGTATATTACGTTATAAAGAAATTCAAGCTAGCCCATTAAACATCATACTCACTGCTTTGTTAGCTAAGTTTCTATGTAATTCTCCTATAACTCTTGCAGTTGAACATTAATCTTTGTCTTGGGCTATTGCCAAAGTTAAGACGTTGGCTAAGTAATGCATCACTTTTGAAAGGATTTATTTATTTTTTCGTGCAATTTTAAGTCAACGTCATCAAATTGGCAAACATAGTATAAATTAAGATGAACAAACTTTTTTGTTTAAAGGTTTACTATAATTTATACTTTAACAAAAAGAATTAAAGAAATAAAGTTTCTGATCTTATATTTATCGAGTCCATGATCGTGATTATGTTTAATGTTTAATATTCTTGTGTCTAAATTATACACTAAACTCTGTTTTAAAACATACAAATAAAGTAATATCAAAGCAAACATGGTACACTATAATTATGTTAAAGTAACACAACAAACGCAATAAGTTCAATAATAAGTATATTTTGATATACAAACGTTTGATCAGAAGTGTATCGATTCCCTGATTAAGTTGAAAATTTATGTACAATTCAGACATTTATCAACTGGAATATGAGCTGTTCTTTATACAACAGAATGATGAATATCCACATAGAAACGGAGCCGCTTATAATTTGTGCACTTAGTATTCAAAGATGTTTTCAAAATTATACTCCTCAGTTGTCAAGGAGGGAATTTATTTATTAATAATAATAAAGAAAATTTTAAAGCAAACTGTTTTCCTTTTTCACAATTCCTAGGAAGAATAAACCTCTTAACCGATGGAATTGTGGTCAAAATCCTATATTCTGATCAATACACTTATCTGCAATTCAGGTCCCGAAATTTCTTCATTCTTGTATGCTTCATTTTAATTCAGTCGAAAAAAATTATATTGTAGAAATTACTTTTGTGTCTAATTGATATTTCAGAAATATTTTACAAATTATATGCATTTCATTGTATGAAAGCATAGTTCTAAACTTGGCTTCTTCGGATAATATGATGAACAACAGTTAGTGATTAAGAAATGCTGGTACATGTATTCTGAAATATTTCATTATCAAGGCTTGAACTCCCAGTATTTATGCTGATCAAGCACATGGGGGGAATAGATGCATTTTCTCTTGCTCTTCTCTGGTTCGGTATTGTATTTCCAATTTGAAACATGCACAACAATATATAAAAAACAATCGGTTTTGATTATAATGGATTAGAATCTTTTATGAAATTTCATATATTTATGGATAATGCAGTTATTGTGATGTTAAAGATACGATTAATATTTTACAATATTTTTATTTCATGCAAAACGAATTGAAATGAAAAATGACTTAGTAGGTGAATGGTAGTCCATACAAGCTTTAATTACACTGTTAGACAGACTCTGTTATCAACTCAGTGTGCTAGAACCATTCACAAACACTTTCCTTTTTTCGGTGGCTTTTTCTCTTTTTTCTGAAGTTTTTGTTTAACTTCTTCCAAATCTGCACAGATGTTTGAGCATGTCACAATAATGACAATATGACTACATTAAAATCATATCCCAAATCAAATCCCATATATTTTTTTTACCAATATTAACCAACATAACAGAATTATGAACTTTTATCACTTTATGTTACTTCAAATCAGAGGTATTATACGGAACAGAAATTTGACTTAACTATGCATTTTGTAGATCATTATACATGTATATAATATTCCGTATAACATAAAGAGAGAGAGAAAGAGATAAGATTGTAAATCTGTATTCTTTATTTTTTCCCTACTATTCAGTTCTATATGCTGTCTATAAACATGTGATGGTACACCTGTATACCTTTTGTACTAGTGTATACCAATTTACAAATATTTCTACAAATTTTAAAGGCAAAGTATTCCACTATTATTTTTGGATAAAATTTGGAAATGTTGCCAAAATGTTACATTGACTTGTGGACACCCCCCCCCCCCCCCCGCAAACAAATCATACTTATATACAACCTTGCACCTCTCCAACATAGTTTTCCAATAAATTATCTTTCTATTACATATAAGAATGTGATCTAAACAAAACTGTAAATTATTCTTGATATAATCATTCCATTAAACATTGTTAAAAGAAAGCAGTACACCACCCATCACGATTTTAATGAAATATATTTACTTTATTTCTTTTCAAAGATTTTTTTGTAAGGACTTCTAATACATTGCATATTGATGTGTTCAGAAGTTAATTACGATGAAGGTTTGAAACCCCCTGTAGTGTTTATCGGGGGAGGGGGGATTCCTGTCAAAAATCATCTTTGATTGAAGTAAGTGGAAAGCAAGTAATAAAGAACGACTTAAGACACTTCAATCTATACAAAGCTATGAAGTCACATTTTTTTTTTTTTTTTTTTTTTGTTTATTTGTTTTTTTTCCCCTCAGTTTCTGTCTTTTTAAACAACTACTGTGTTGTACAGATATGTACAATATATTTAAATTTTATCAATTCATAATAAAACCAATTTAAGAAAATGATCTGGATTTAATTTGATAGTTGAAATAAGCGGCCTACTTTTGAGCATATCTATCTCCAAGTCTGTGTCGTATTCTTCAGAATCATGTGGTGACATCATCGTCCATGTTTCAAATGTTGGATGCTGTTTCTTTGACTTTGACATATCTCTCTTGACCTGCGTCATTGCCCAGCTGTGCTCAGGGGATGGGGAACGTCCAGACGACTCTTTATAAAGGCATTTCAAAAGTCCATTGAGAATAAAACTATTTCATTTTTTTTGTACATTTTACACCAATCTTTATTTCAAGTAATTTTGTATTTGATTCAAATAGAAATGACTTATTTTTCTGTTCATTCAATTTAGAATAAAAATAATTTTTTTTTAGTCCTATTTTATAAAAATCCATTACATAATTTACTGAAAAATTCAATTATACCTGAGACCAAAGTGGTGACTCCATATTCTAACATATCCTTCTCCTCCTGTCCTTCATGGTCTGTCATTTGATCTTTGACATTGTATCTTTGTGGCTTGTAATCCAATGCTGGACATTCTAATCCAATAACTTGAGTATCGTCTGCTTCCTTCTCCTCTTTTTGGCGGTCATCTTCCTTGGATTTCTGTCGTCTGTTCGGTGGCCTCATGTGAGATTTCTTTAAATTTTCTCGGACTAGTTTCTTCTTTGAGACATCGGCTCTGGTTTTTGGATGAGCTGACCATGGTCGTCTGATTCTACCGATGGGTGGTTCTGGGGTACTGGAAGCACTTGGGCTGCTGGGTGGTTTTTTGCCTTTGGCAGAATGTGGGCGAATCAAACTTAGAACTTTTGAATGTTGGCCTTCTTCTGTGGGTAAAGATTCCCCTTGCAATTCTTCTGTACCATCCATATTACTTTATTAAAAAGTGTGATTCTATACCTGTATATCATAAATAACAATTACAAAAACAATCATATATATCTTCAAAATATTTAAACCTTAAATTAATTTAAAATTATTTTCAAAATTATTTGTAAGTTATATTAAGGAGTTATATAGTAAATATTAATCCATGTATATGCTCTGTGGCCTCCCTTTACTTTTTTAGTTCATAAATGATAAATCCAAATTGCATAAATGATGAGGTACATGTACCAACAGGTATATTCTACTCAAGTTGAATTTCACCAGACATATAGATCAATATTATGTAACAAAAGCATGGAAAGAAAGCACTAATTCAAAAGCTCCAATAGTGGATTTAGATACTACATATATGAATATCTTATCGCCTTCAAATAAAAAAAAAAGTGTAATAGTCGATAGTGGTATGTTGGTTAATTTAGTACAATCTATACATTAAATATTTACTTACATATCCTAAATATCAAATTGAGATACAACATCGATTAACAGAAAAGAAAATTGACTTAGCTTTTCTTGCTTTATATTCGTTATAAGTTTGTAAAGAAATATAAGAATTTAGCTCGTATTTTTTAATGAAAAATCTATTTTAAAAAAATTATCATAGGAGCTATATAGAGAGAGAGAGACTCAGAGAGATCCGCCATCTTCTTTTAACCACAGTTAGTAAACATATATGAATTAATTGGACATATTACTAAAAATACACGAAGCCTATGATATCATTAACAATAAGACAATGAACACGTACGTACACAGGTTAATTACAATAGGCCTATCATGCGACCTAGCGTTCTACTTTGTTTTCAGTATTTGCAACGTTTACCTTGTTTAAATTGAATCAAATTATCCACAATAATTGTTTTTCACATCATTGTTATTGGTTACTGTGTGTAAGCAGTGATTGACAATTTCTCTTTCATTACTCGCAGCATAGCAGGTTATCTCCAATGTAAACACTGTCCTACTTTCTGCAACTTCCGGTGTAAACGTCATCGATTTGGAGTTTTTGTGTAAAACGTCATTCGCACTTCCTTAATCATTAGCCATTTTCTGTGTGATCCGAGTGATCATACGAGGGGAATTTAGCAAGCGTGACTGAACACACACTATCACACAGGATGAAAAGGACCACAGGTTAGTTCAAACTAATGTTATATGAGAAGAACTTTTGTATTACTATATGAGATTGCTGAAGGAAAAATATATCAGATTGATCTGATAATAAAAACGAACTTCGGTATCAAGACAAGAAAACAATAAACACTCCTTATTTAGATTCTTTAAATATCATATTTTAAATTTAATCACAATGGAATGACATTCGAAATTACATATAAACTAACCTGACGGTAAAATTTTAATGTCAACAAAATTGCGCAATCAGGACAGCAAAGTGGGGGGGGGGGGGTATGTATTATGTTTATGACCTGTGCTATTAAGATCAGTAACTGCTATTTATTTACATAGAATATGCAGTTGTTTGACCAGTTCCGAATTTCGATCAGTTCCAAATAATTAATAATTTAAGAGCTGATAATTAATAAATTCAAAAGTGTAAACATTAATTGTAGTATTGTCATCATTGTAGTAGTTTGGACTCAATTCTATAGTATAGACTATGGGTATGGACTTGGTTCGATTCCTAGTCTAGTCATATATTTTCTCCATTCATTCCTCCTTTCCTATTGCAGTATATAATACTATATATATAAGGAAAACAACCACACATACCTAAGAAAGATAACCTTTCTTGCATTAACAGCTTTTTTGGTTATGATTAATTTGCAAATATATATTTGAACTGTCTTTGATTAAATTTATCATATTTGTATAAAATGAGGATTTTAAAACCATTTCAACGTAATATCTGTTCCCCAGACCACTGTTTTTAATAGAAATTCCAGCTGCTAATCAGTTCCAGTTGAAAATGTTAAAAAGTACTTTTTTCGAAGTGCTTACAAAATTATGGGAGAGGGGGAACCAGCAGTTATTAATTAGATTAATGCCATATAAACAGAAATTTGAGCGAGGATTCAGTTTTGGCATTTTTAGCGAGGGTATGGAGATCGTTAAAATTAAATATCACTAACAGTTTATTCCGCATTAGAGGTTACAGTTATCTTTCTAAGCATGATAAAACCACTAAAATTACTTCTTGCTAATTAAAAATTAATGCTGATTTTTAAGTATAAATTGCTAAATTTGCGTCTCACTAAAAATTCCACTTATACAGTATAATATCTAAAACATGATTGATAAAGGGTTATTTTACATTAGGATGTATCAATACAAAAATATTAAAAAAAGAAATATTGATAGAGGTTAGATTATCAGCATGAGATGTATGTTTGTTAAGCTTCCTGCAAACTTTTTTTAACCAATCAAAGAATTATGATTTTTTTTTATACAGGATCGACACTCATTACCTAAGTAACCTGGGCTTGTATGATACATGTATATTTTAAAACATTTTTGACAGTTTGGGCAATAAAAAGTCATTTCATGTTTTAGACTAAGTGTAAAAAGTTTTGAACTTCACCTTGTGATCATATTTAAATTCCAAAATACATGTAGAAAAAAGTAATATTAGACAAAACTTGGTGTCCAACTGATGTTTAAAATAAGAACACAAATATATGACTGTGAAATAATGTTCTCAAAGATTACAACATGTACACGGAGAAGGAAAACACAATTTTTATGACAATTTACTTTCTTGTAAGTTGCAATAAAATTATGAAAAGATTTATTTTTCAGTGGAAATTTTACAATTTATATTAAAAACAAAGTTAAATACATGTAACTATTTTGAATTTTTCTACCTGTCATCAGTGTGCCATAATTACATATACATGTACGATATATCAACTATTGACTTATTGTGTCTGACCCAATTTTACATTTTTATTACAACATACATGTATCACTATGCTTTGCTTTTGTAAACATGTTATTTACATTAGGAGCAAAGTCCACACATTAGAATCACGAGTAATTTACATAACAAGTGACAGCAAAACTATTTATATATCAGTTCTATAGCCATGAGACAAAAGTATAAATAAAGAAACAGAAATGTGATGGTTTCATTTGACAAATAGGTATTTCTAATCATGCTAATATTTACATGATTTAGGGCAATTTGGGAATGCTAGTGTGAATTTTCTACATGCTCTTGTAATCATGATAATTATAAATACATTTCTTGTAATTTAACATGTTGAAGCTGAGTAAATAATGCACATTTCCTGTCTTCAACTTTACATATGTAAGATGTCTTAAGCTTAATATTCTATGAGATAGAGATCATGGTGATTCGGCATGGAAAATTCATGTAGTACATGCAGCATAATACGTAAATTTATGAAACTATCACATATCAAACATGTGACAAATGTTATAATTTATGGAACATTTAATTATGAAAATACTTCATTTTGTTTTATTTTTTTTTAATAATTTTTTTAAATTTTAGGTTGAAGAATTCTTATCCTGAAGCCCAAGAAACTGCTGCAATCATTTTATTTATATAAGCAGTGACAAGGTTATAATACATACATAAAATGGCAGGTACCAGCCATTCTGATAGTGGAGATGTGTGCTCCATAACCGAGAGCCCGATTATTGTACAACCTAAATCTATAGACAGTCCAGATATAAATCATATCACACTAGACAGTGACTTTTCTGACGGAGAAGACGATCTTACTCTATCTCGGAAGGCCGCATCGCAGAAGTCAGAGTCAGGGAAACTCTTATTTTCCAAGAGATTTGTAAGTTGTTTTTTTTTTCATTTGAACATGTTGAAAGATATTTACATGCAGAATATAAAGTGCATCATAAATTTGAACTGATACATCTGTTATTGTTCCAGTATATCAATTCTGAAAGATTCATAATGATTGTTGCTCATATTATTAAGTTGTCTACTTGTAATACATATATTATATAATTACACAATTTCAACATTTGCAGGTACATGTAGTACCTTTACATAATTTCTTAATAAGCTTAAAAGTATTAGAACAATCAGAATTTATTACTATTAGGGTTGTGCAATCGGTCAGATAATAATAACTACTAGTGTGCTATGCTAGTCTTCCTCGGGGTCTATACAGTTAGCTGATCAGATAGTCTGTCATCTTTAAGATTGAATACCCAGCTACTCAATCAAAAAAGGCATCAGAATGATCAGTAAATGTGTCCCATAATTAACTTGTTCTTTATTTACCTAGTGTATATAATCTTTATACAGATCTATATTTTTGCTTACATTATTTTTAATAGTTGAGCAACAGAAAGGTGCTGTTTTCATTTTTTAATCAAGTGGTTTGTGAAAATATAGTTTTTTTTTGTTGTTGTTTTTTTTTTGGGGGGGGGGGGGGTGTCATTTTTTAATGAAACATTAATTCAAAATTGTCAGGAGAAATATTCATTTCTAATATGATTTTGTCAATTGGCATCATTACAGAGAAGAATAAGAGGACATAATGATGAAGAAGAAGATGAGGAAGATCTGAAAGTGTCTCGTCATTCCAGAATGGAAGATTTTCTGTCAGGGACGTGTAAAGCTGCAGAACAAGCGGAGGAGTTTGTCAAAAAAGTGTGGGCGGCGGGCTGGAGGGTCGTCCACCATCACTCTCTCCCAGACTGGCTCCAGGACAACGACTTCCTTCACACGGGACACCGTCCTCCCACCAACTCATTTCTTGTTTGTTTCAAATCTATATTTAGAATACACACAGAAACTGGAAACATTTGGACACATCTGTTAGGTGAGTGAAATTTATATGACTAAAAACAGATAAACAAATAAATCATCTAAACTAATAAAGCATCTACCATTGTTTGTAAAATAGAACATGTAAATAAAGATAGACTCGGTATTAAAGATGTGCAGGCATTGAGGAAAAATCGGAAAATTATGAGGGATAAAAAAAATTATGAAAGCTAGAAGACAATTGTAGCAGTTAGCATGGTTTTCATTTGCTAGCTACATGTATTATCATTTCCATATTGTAGCTAATATGATTTTATATCAAATGTTTGTTAATCTCTTATACCTTGTATTTACCAATTCTGTTTAACAGAATAACATACATATCTTTTTGTTTTTAGGAATGATAGCTTTTATTGGAATAGCGAGTTACTTTCTATCACGGCCAACAGTAGAAGTACAGTGGCAGGAAAAGGCTGTTTTTTCGGCATTTTTTGCAGGAGCAATTCTTTGTTTAGGATTCTCATGGATTTTCCACACAGTGTTTTGTCACAGTGAGCGAATTGGAAAACTTTTCAACAAGTAAGTGCATGAGAGTTATAGTTAAAACAATGAGTTTAAATGAATTTGGGTTTTTTTTCAGTTTCAAAAAGTAATCATCAGAATAGATACTTGTTCATTGATTGTGCATGCTTTGTGGGAACATTTATCATGTGCATACATGTAACATACTGTAAAATCATATTTTTTTCGTGGGGTCAAATTTTTGTAGTTTGAGCAAATTATATGGGTTCATGGGGATTTAATTTTGTGGATGAAAAAAATATTTGAGTAGTAATTTATGTGAAAAATTACATTTTGTGGTGGACGTAAATTTATGTGTCTCTTCATATGTCAAAAACAATGAAATTAAACCCCACAAAATATGTGATTTCACAGTAAAACATGAAGTCCTTTTCTACTTGACCTTACCTATCATAGTCAACTTTAAATTCACTGTAAGATATTCATGGTAAATTGGTAAATAACCCTATTTGAAGTACCAAAGTTCAACTACATGTATATGTTAGGACTTTTTGGATATGTATCCTAAAATGTTTTCTGAAAATTAATCCGTCAAAAAACTACTTTATTGAAATTAAATTGCTGAATTAGAAGTTACTGTTTATTTTCAGGTTGGACTATTGTGGCATAGCTCTCCTGACTATGGGCTCCTTTGTTCCATGGCTATATTACAGTTTTTACTGTCGTCTAGGACCCAAGATTGCCTACCTTGTACTAATATTTGTCCTTGGTACCTGCTGTATTGTGGTTTCTCTGTGGGATAAATTTGCAGAACCAGAATTCAGGGGAATTAGGGCAGGTATGAATATGATCAATGATGTAATCTGATTTTTACCATGAAACTATTCAAGTGATTTTTAATATTTAATGATAAATTTCTGTGAAAGAATTTCTTTCTGACAGTGAATTATGCAATTAGTACTTGAATATTAGTCATGTTAATAGAAATATAAGGTTCTCTCATATTTTGCAGGTGTATTTATTGCCCTTGGACTAAGTGGTGTGGTTCCAGCCATGCATTACGTTATTATAGAGGGGTTTTATCATGCTATCAACTTTGCGGCCTTAGGATGGTTATGTCTGATGGCACTGCTGTATATTGTTGGAGCTCTGATATACGCCTTCAGAATTCCTGAGAGAATTTTCCCGGGGAAATTTGATATTTGGGTAAGAAATATAGAAAGACATTTTTATTGTGTAATTTCACTCCTTTTTTAAAAGAAGAAAAAGACAGAGATGCATTGAATGTAAAGGAAATATTTTTCTTTTTCAAGTTAATTGTTTACATCGGCCACCTAAAAAATTGACAATGCACTTCTGATGACTGATTTATATTCTCATGTATATACATGTATGTATATACAGTTGAACTTCGGTATCTTGAACACGGATATCTAGAATACCATGGATATGTCTAAGTGATTTTGAAGTCCCAATCCCTTATTCCTTAAGTATTTTACCCCGGATATCTCAAAAGTTTTTTCTCAGTACCATGGAGTTAGAGATAATGAGGTTTGACTGTATAAACTTTGATTTTACACATGCTGTACATAAAAAAATACTTTGTATAAAGAGCAAGAGCCACTTGGGGCCTTTTTTGGCCCTGTCAATTTCTACAATTCAAAATTGCATAGTTTTAGTCGACAAGGCAATAATTAATACTTGAACACCTGGTGAATGAATATCTACTGAAAATGACGTAATTTTCTTGCTAGTCAATGCATTATGACAGCAGCTAGATCACTTAAATCTGACACTGTAAATATGAATTCCTAAACTACTGCTGAATAGTCATTATAATACTATGATTTACAGGATTTTTGCATAAAACCATTTGAAAAATGTCATAAAAATCTAGTTTTTAATTGCTTACAGTAAATGTCCATTTTTTGCTAATTGTTTTACAATACAGTTTCAGAGTCACCAGATCTTTCATATGTTCGTGTTGGCGGCTGCACTGGTCCATTTTCATGGCATTTCCAAGATTGCTAATTACAGGCTAACGCTAGGGGAGTGTCTAGATAGTGAATTAATAGAATCATAAGCTCCTAGTTAAAAGCAGAACTCCTTCACAGTGGTTTTGTTTTTGTCTTGTCCTTGAATATGATTGGTGTGATAATTATATGAAAATGTAATTTTAGAAAGTCATAAACACATTTACAAATTGAACGTTAGTTATTTGTTGTATTTGACATACACGTATAACAAATTTGCAATGATATAAATTGTCAAACCAATATAAAATTTTTGTATTTAAAGACTATTTCAGAAATGCATGTGCTTTACTTTCTACATGGTGAATATATTATTAATATGGTCAAAATTCTTTTTTTTTCTTTTTAGAAGATGAAAAAAGGAAACCTTTCTTTCTTTTTTTCTTGTTTTTTTTTTTTTAAATCACCAAGTCTTTCATGAGGTACTTTGTAATTGTACATTACCTATATTTACATGCACATGCTTAACAGATAAAAATATTTTCAGTCTTTATACCTCAGAGTATTTAATAACTGTTATATTTTAGGCTGAAATGTGTGTTTGCACTTGTTGATGTATATTATTCACTGTATTTATTATAATCATCATTACTCAGATACCTTTCTAGGCCATCATTAGTGTTTAATGTAAGTACTAATGTTTTTGGTATAGATTTGTTGTTTTTTTTATTTACTCTTTTTGGGGATAATTTGGTCTGGCAGATTAAGATAATTTCTTTAATATGGCATATCTTTTCAATTCTTCCATAATTTATTGACATTTAACCTACATGTAGCTCACTCAGCAAAAAGTTTGCTTGAGTTTAACCATAGTATCCAAATATTCAGATTATTTTTCTAAAATCATTGTTCAATCTTGTTGAAAATAGCAAAATTGAAGTTGATTAAAATGCTTGGAACAGCGGGCATGTTATCCATGTTACAAAGGGCCAAATACTAATATTTCATTGTTTAATGGAGATTCAAGACACTACAATGCCTTTTGTGTGAAGTTTCCTACACTCAAGAGTAAATAACATGGTAAGTAAAACCTTCAGATTATCAAATCAGTAACATTGAATAAGAATGTATTAAATCAAAATTAATAAAATGATCTTTTTCTCCCGAAGTAAACTGTATATTATTAAAGTATGCAACCTTTGAAGCATCCTTTTCATGTAGATCTACTTTTGTTGAAGTTGTGACTCTTTGAGAAGAGTGTGTGAATGCTTTCAGCACTGATGGGGGGGGGGGTACATTGGATATTCATTTGATGAGAGAGAGAGAGAACTTGGATGAGCATTTTGGCCCTAGGACATCTTTTTTCTTTTAATTTTTCTTTTGATTTTTTCCCTAAAAATAATTGTTAAAAACTTGAAATGCTTATATTTTAATCACACAATTTGGACAATTCTGTTTCTGTGGAGCAGATAGCTTTATAGCTGCATTACAGTGGTAACTATGGACCCAAGTAAGCAGGTTTCCATGCTGTTTACATGTAATATTTTCTGAGATTTTATTGATGGTTTTATTGTCACATATCTGCATAAAGAAGCTGTAGTTTTTTTTGTTTTTTGGGGGTTTTTTTGAAATTTTTTTTACAGTGAAAAACGGAATACTTTGTATCTTTTGACTGGCTGGTAGTGTATCAGTTTGCACAAGAAGAAAATGATATTTTGTTGTGAAACAATCTATGTGAATAATTAAGATATAAATGGGCCCTGTAGATTTCTGGATTGTTTTTTTATCAAGAGTCCAATGCTACAAATTTGTTTAATAAAATCCATGTTAAATTTGTTCAATAAATTCTAATGCAGGATCTTGTTTTTATCTTTATTGCATATTGCATTTATTTTGTGCCCAGGACAAGCTTCTTGCTTAGTTTGTATCAATACAGATTGGGAGCAGAGCAAACACGGACCTCTAAAAACGCCAGAGGTGGGATCAGGTGCCATGGAGGAGTGAGCATCCCCTGCCAAATGGTCACCCCTGCGTGTGCTCCTTGTCATGATTGGGAAAAACGGAAAAATCCATGGCCACTTCAGTGTGTAAATAATAGACTAACAATTAGTTTAAAAAACGTCGGTCAGTATTTGACTTAATGATATGTTGTATTGGCTGATGAGGTCTTTGTATCAACCATGAACTTGCAAAATGATGACTTCAAACGAGACTGTTGATATCATTGTTTCATCAACTTGTTTGTCGATAGCTTGCCTCGTTTTAGAAATCGTTAATACGTAGAGCATGTTCTTGTGTATCGAATCAACTGGGAGACATAAACCCCATATGCAGGTGATAAGAGTATATTGCTACATAAATAAGGGAAGTGAACAATTGAAAAATTGAAGTCATCACGTTTATCGTAAAGCTTTTTTGCTAGGTTACCATTAAAGTCTTTTCTAGTAAAATATCCAAATATAAAACTGATATGTCAGACTTTTGAAATCTTTTATTTCAAGTTCACTGGGATATATCGAGTTGACATACGAATGGAAGTAGCTTTATGTATTGTTAATTGATAATGCGTTCCCCAATATATCTAAATGTCGATTTGAAGGCCACAGCAAGCGTTTTCTTCTTCTCATGTAGAAGTTTTTGAATAAATTCTGCTTCATATGAATACAAAAATAGGTCTGCTAATATGGGGGCGCAATTGGTACCAATGGAAATTCCAACTGATTGTTGGAAGACCTGATATCCAAAAACTACATAGATATTGTCACTCAGAAACTCAAGCATATTTTTATATCAACTTAAGAATACTTGTGTTTACAATCAGGATGTTTTTTTTTTTTAAAATGATTTTGCAAATGACCAATGACAAAGTAAGTATATTTACGAGTTCCATTTTTATTTAGAAAAAAAAAAAGCAGCTGTCAGTGATGTCAAAAAGCCTGGACTTTAATATGTCATGGTGAATGGTTGTATGAAGTGTTGAAAAGTCCTAATGTTAATGTTATTGATTTTTGGTAAAATTTTGCGATTCCAAATTTCCTAAAAGTTCCTTGGAGTTTTTAAGTATCCATATCTGATTTACACCTCTTCTAAAAAAAATGTTGTACAGTTTCCCTGAACTTTCTCCTTCACTTCTGTAAATATTTTAGTGAGGAGTTAAGAAAGAGACTTGGTAGAACATTTACTGGAACCCGCTTTGTACCTTTGTTATAAACACAAAAGTTTTGACCGTTTAGTACTCATGAGAAAAAAGACACTTCTTACTGATTTTTTGCTCAATTCTATTCTAAGGTTGAAAACTTTCAAAAGCTAACAAATTCGTATTTTGTTAAGAAAATCATATTTGTATGATATAATTTAAAACTTTTGTCCAAAGGTATAAATTTCAGTAACTGCAGAAAATGTCTTTTAGTCTTTGATTGTATAAAAAAAATTAACTAAATTAATTGTTCTGTAGTAATTTTAAGAAGCATAAAAGGAGATATTTGATATTTTCATACATGACAGATCCGCCAAAAATATAGTCCCTGCTAGATTTCAAATTCAGTTAATCATTCTATTAAAAGTTGAACAATAATGAGAAGGAAAGAAAAATATGATCTTTTAAACTCCTTTATATCTATATTTATTGGACATATATATACTGTAAAGCAAATATACTTTGAATATTTGATTTAGTTTGAAACCTGACAAGAATCCCTCCTTCATAGAAAAGAAAAAAAAGTTATCCCCATATCGCTAAAAACTTATTACGCTAAAAAATTATATATGTGAAAATTTGCACAAACTTTCCTGAAGATTTAATTAAAATACAAATAAAAATATTTGAAATGTTAGCCTCTCTCTCTCAAATATATACGGGCTTATAGCTGACTTTATCTAAATTCAGGCCTCCTTCCCGATCAGTATGGTTTCCTGTTTACATGTATCGTGATATTTATGATTTTGGAGTGTGGTGTGGCATAAGAAATGTAAGAAAAACATTATCGACGAAGTATTCGAGGAACCATATCGGTGTATGAAAATCAGTTTAGACGTAAAGTGTATTTATAGCAGCAGATTGCTCAACGCCGCTTCCCTTTGTGTGTATGGGGCCTAATGAAGACCTAATTAAGTAAGGATATTCTTACAAAAAATGAAAGTCTACGTAATATTTTTTTTTTAAAAATCAGACTGTCCACGTGTAAAATCTTTGATATGGATTGTAGATGTAACTTATGATAAATGTTTCCCAAGACGTTTACATGCCACCACAAGAATTAAAGTAATGAGTGCTTTTATTAGCTTCGTAATTATTCGTAATAGAGCTTCTTTTATAGACATATATGATACATAGATAGGAAAAGATAAAGGGAAGTTGATAATGAGGAAATTTCTGAAAATCTTCATTTAATCATATCTCCTTTCCACTGCATATAGAATTAATCTTTAAGTTAGACAAGATTGAAGAATTAACAAAACATATAGAGGACTTTTCAATTTTTCTCCCCTTTTCTCCCTTTTCATATTTTTTTATCATTTAAAGTATAAAATTGGAATATTTTCTTCCTTTAAAAGCAATAAACATGACTTAATCATCCATGCAACCAGCACGAAACAACACAGGCGTATATAAGTTTTTCTGAGGAGCGAGACAATCTATCTGCAGATCAGTGTGAAAGTAAATGCATGTTGATTCTTTTCTTTTTCGTTGTATAGCCGCAGAATATTCTGTAAGCATTCGGGCAATGATAAATCTGACAGTTGTCAACCTAGTTCCTGTGGTTTCGAAAGATATAAGGGTGTATGTGAAAGGTCTACAAAACGGGACTGAAGGAACGAAAAAATTTTCTGTTTGCAAAAAAGTGACTTAAAACCAACACATTAACCTTTACAGATGCCATTTATACCAAAAACATGAGTATATATAGTAAAAGAAACTCCCAGTAAAAATCATTTGGATCATTTAAAAAAAACCCAAGAAAATAAATACTGAATTCATCACAATTACATGTACCTAACAACCATGAAGTTATTTTTTTCCAATTCAGTAAATAAATTTTTTTTCGAAAAAAGGATTTAAAAAAAAATGTAAAGTTTCGAATAAAATAACATGCTACTATGAGATTCCAGAGAGAGAGAGAGAGAGAGAGAGAGAGAGAGAGAGAGAGAGAGAGAGAAGGAAAGTGAACATTTTTATTCATTGAAAATACGCATATATTTTGTCAAATGTTTCAAAAGGAAATTCAAGACCCTATTTAAGATTATAATTTATGAAGGTACACATTTGTAGTTTTTTTTTAAATAAGTAGATTAAAATAAAAATAATAATATACATATTTATACTTATAGTGAAGGTTCTAAGTGGACCAAAATCCAAAAAACCTCATTCAATGAAAAAGAC